TGTTTATAAAAAAAGTATGTGCTTGTGGGTGCTAAAGAGCTATCACTTACTTGATCACAGTATTGACATCATCACACTAAAATGGATTAGTTTCATATTCCTGTTAGACATAAGCCCAGAGCATAATCTTGGATGCCAATACCCAACCTCTGATTAAAAATAAGATTTGATCTTTTTTGCTTTAGCTTCATTCCTGGAAGTGATAGGTTGTAGTGACATGATGTTGCCACAAATGAAATCAGGTATTTGTTAGCATGTCCCATAGCACCTGTCCAACTTAAAAGGAAATAATTTCATGATTGTGCTTACAGAAATTTGGGTAAAAAATCCTTATAATTTCCTCCACCTTAAATATACTATGTTGTTTAATATGCACTACCAGAACAGATGGAAATCAATACCAAAGATACTGTCCTGAATTCTTTTAAAACATACAGTTGTTGAAAGATACTGTATGAACAATGACAGAGACAATCATCCTATATTCTTGAATAGCAGGGAGTAGCACGGGGTGGGCAAAATGCAGCCTGCGGGCCAGATGCGGCCTGCCAGGCCATTTCATCTGGCCCACAGGACCCCTAAAAAATTTAGAAAGTTAATATTTATCTGCTCCTGGCTGCCTGTCACGTGGCCCTCGATGCCTTGCCAAAACTCAGTAAGCGTCCCTCCGCCTGAAATAATTGCCGCCCCTGGAGTAGCAGCAGCTTGTGCTTTCCTGCATTGTCTCAACAGCCATGTTCTGAAGGACTACCTACCAGGGAAAAGAAGTAATTTAGTGCTAAGTTTGATGAATAGTACCAACTTCTTCAGATTTAAAACTTTATTACTGGATGTTAAAAATCATACTTATGTACATGGCTTTGTACAGTTAGAAAGGAATACAGGACCTCATGCATGGTAGCTACTCGGTAGATAATTGGTATATATTGATGCAATATAAAAAATGCCTTAGTAGTACAGCCTATGTTAGCCCAGGGTACAGGGAGTTCTTTTATTTTCCTAAAACAAAAGCAATATGTTTCTAGGCCCTTTTAAGTATCAAATGCTTAACTGCTGCCACCAACTTCAACCTGTGATATTTATTGCTTTTATTCAGTCCCTTCTTCCCAGAGCCCAGGTGATTACTTTAGAATCTCGCCTTCCATCTGAAGCATAAGTCTGTCTAAAAGTTTGAGCATTCTGTGGTTTATGTATCACAAACAACCAGAAACCAAGTAGGCAATTGGCCTATATATAGCTAAGCTTTGCATGTTTGTATTTAGCCAACCAATGGGAAAAGTAAGCCAGTGCATTCATATATTTTTCTATCTGCTGCATAATGCAGTCTTCACAATTGCAAGGAATGTTATAGACATCAGTTAGAAAAACTGAACTGATCTGGGTGATGACTGGAAAGCTAGAACACCCAAAAGGCATGGATTTCTGGACAGAAGCCACCTGGTGCTGCAGACAAAGCAGCAATGTGACAAGAAAAAACTAGACACTTATGCCTCCCATTTAATTTGCCTCACTGAACCCCACTGATTGAAATAAGTCAGCAAATCATGGCAAGCCAGCACAAGGTGCTTAGTTCATCTAAACCAATGCCAGTGTAGTGCTTCAGGAGACAGGTTCCTTTGTCTGACCCAGCCAGGAAAAACAGTTTAGGTTCAAGGTTAGGGTTAGAGTTAGGGTAGTTGTCAAAAATTTGCTGGCCAGAAGTTTTCCAACTAAATATTTCCAGTGGATAATACTGACTGATCCAAACCAATGTTTCATGAAGACTTACCAGTAGCATAACAGTGGTGGGCAAACAGGGAACAACCTCTGGGTGCTGTCTAAGTAAGGGGCCCTTTAATGTAGCCAAGGAGGAACTCAATTCCCCTTTCCCCTCGCTCCCCACAACAAACACCCTGTACCCTCCCTGCATCGATGCCAATTCCAGCAGCAGGGAGGGCAAAGCAGCAGCAGCACACGGTGCCCTGGGTGACACAAGAACAACAAGTAAGATTTGCTGCTGTATGAGAAGCCTCCTTCATTGCCACTGAAAATCAGTGTACCAGCAGCAGAAAAAGGAGGTCACATCCTCCCATGCACTTGAAAACTTCTGGCTGCTGCTCCTGCACTGCATGTTCCTACTACACCAGGCACAGAGTTTGGCCATTTACCTTTACCATTTCTGCTAAGTTTTGTGGGCTCCCCAGCTGGTTTCCCTTAGAACCATACCTAGTTTGCTATCCGCCTGTGTTTCAAGACACTCCAGACTTCTAGGGTCTAGGACTCCTAAGCAATCCTAACAAAAGGAGGGGCTGGCCCAGGGTCAGGAACTCAGACCTTCTAGTACTAAGTCACCTGGTTCCCTAGGCCATCTGATTCCTACAAGTTTCCAACTTCCCCACTGGTAGTCAGTGGTGGGCAGTGTGAACTTGGCAAGAAGCATGTCCATTTTACTCAGCAGCTGCCAGCATCCCTGAGGAACACACTTTGTAATTTTTGCTGCAACTTCAGTCCCATGGGAAAATTTTAAAGACCTTCCATTTCATTTTGCACTGGAAGGGAACCAGACTCTAAAATGCTGAAATTTTCTGTGACCCAGAAATTTGACGATTCAGCCACCTCTAAGTGACAACTGACCCAGTTGCCCCAGTGTCACAATGATTTGGCACAGCTTGCAGCCTCAGACTGATACAAACTGATAAAAGACAGAGCATCAGCTTAAACAAACAAAGTTTAGGTTTGGGAGCAGCAGCCTGTGTAACTGCTGCAGGTTCAGGGATCGAGACTGCATTCCAGCCACTGCTACCATTTGTCAGCTCAGACTATATAAGCAGCAGAGTGCTAACCACTAGTATAAAGTAACTGAATGGATGGGGCTGATCCAAAAATGATTGTGGTTACCAACTAGAGGGTCAGAAACAGCAGGCAAAGAAAAAGGCCAGAATGTAGAAAAATAAACAACTATAATAATGATATAATATCTTATTTTTTTGAAGTCTTGAGAGTTTTGGATTATGACATGGGTTTGGGCCCCTCGGGTTGGCAATAGGGGTTGGTAATCTGGTTTATGGCTTGGGAAGAGAACCTTTAACATAGGAAATGAGGAGAAAGCTCCATCTGAGGGATGGTGAAAGACTACCCAATATTTTTATACTGCCAGGCCTGTGGAGAGTAGACTTACTCTTATTCTGCCTCAGTTAAGCAGAACTGTAAGTTATTTCTGTGAATCGTTCTGACTCCCCCTACCTTCGGCCAAGCTCTTCCCTCAATAGCAATCAAAGACCTGAGGCAAGGCCCTGAGTACTTCTGCTCCTCCTCCCATACTTTCATAGATTTCCACTGCCATCAGTTTCCTTCTACTTTCCTTTCACTGCTCCATTCTAGAAGTCCCAAGCACAAGCCTACAGAAGTAAGAAGTTATCTGGGTCCTTATCTCCAGGCAGATGCCAGAAATTGTAGCTTACTTGCTAACCTCCTCTCTGAGTAAGAGAAAAAGAAGTAGAAAACCCCCAAATTGAAGAACTAGTTCTGAAAAACAGTGCCCAGCATGCTGTCAGTATAATAGTATTAATGAAGTGGCTGAGCCAGAAGACGAGGTTGAAGGTCCATCAGGCAAGAATATTATGTCTAAATTGGAGGAAGGGCTGTGGTGACAACTAAAGTTGAAAGGAGGCCTGACTGGGCAGGGGGATGAGTTGGAATAACTGCTGCTGAGAGAACTGATTAATTTGGGAAACAAGAGGAAGAACAGGAAAGATAACTGATGAATGGAGAGAGGAAGAAAATTGATAAATCTTGAGCAAAGGGAAAAGAGACTGATTCATTTGTGTGCGGGGCTGAAAATTGATTAATTTGTGGGGGATGTAGGCAGGGGGGCAGACAAGTATTGAGTCACCTAACATCACCATGTAAAAATCAAGGAAGTAACACTGAGTAGGAAGAACAAATCAGGATTTCACTGACAGCTCTTCTTAAGCAACCAGCATTATATGTGTATATATATATGATTTATCTGTGGGTGAGGGGAAACGCTTCTCTGTAACAAGATACTGTTGTACAGAGCACTACTACATGGCTATGCTACATTTAAATAGAAACCTGGCAAACAGACATTAGCAGCATATGAACTGCAATATTGGCAGTATGTGAACTTATGACCATTGCTAAGATGCTACTGAAATGATTAAAAGCAGCTGGTAAATATAGACAAGCTGAACTGCTCTTTATTACAGTAGATTCAATATCTTTAAGACATGCCCCAGTATAAAGCAAATGTCACTCTCATAAGAAATGCCCACAGTTTTTCTTCTACTCAAACAACCACAGCAAATCCATCTTATTTACAGCTTGCAAAGTGAAAGGATGTGATTTACATGGTACTGCATGGCACTTCTGACAAACGCACATGCAAACATAGCAGCAATACAAAATTCTGGTGAAGTTCCACACAGCAAATTTGTCTGTGTGACAATGTGATGGATTTGACTTTTTGTCTCTCATCTGTCAGAAGTGATCTTTGAGATTCAACATAAATCTTTCTCTACAGAAGGCAAATTTCACTTCCTAGTCAGCTACAGCAGATAACCTAGCACATACATTGGGAGATCTGCATTTCATTCAGTGCAATGATAATTAGTAGAGATAACTTCATCAACAAGAAGGCTATTTAAAATTCCTATTACTTTTCTTTTTTTATTAACATTTGAAGCTATGCCAGAAAAAGTTAACTTATTTGACTCAGAAGAAAAGACCTGGAGGTCATCAAGGATTTTTTTTAATGCTTACTGCTATCTTTCTTTAGCACTTTATAATGATACTAACATGAAAAATACATGCATTTGCTTATAAAAGAAATGCCCTTTGGAATTGAGCTAATGCTTTAGAGCCAGCTCACATACAGGGCCAAAAGGACCATTTCAGTAACAAAACACATTTTCCGTCAAGTGAAACAACTACTCAGACATGCTCTAATTCTGCCAACAGATAATGGGGCAAGAATAATTAAAAGAACATCCCAAACTTACCTACACAGGGGAGGGAGTAGCCAAGCTCAGGATCATGGATGAACTGGCGATCATTCAGCATAGTCACACAGTATAAATGGAAGCAGTCAAGGCAAATGACATGGTGGTGCGGGCACTGGAACACCAGCACGGGACTTCTGTTAAAAAACCCAAGTCAGTGCAATACAATGTTATTGTATGTAACATTGGGTAGAACAACCATCTTAAACTGCTTCAGTTCACAACTTCAATCCCAGATTCCTCACTGATAGTAAGAATAATATTACCATCAAATCATAACATGGCTTTTAAATAATTCTCTAACAATTTAGCATCTCTATTAATCATAGCATCAAATGGCAGAGATTTAAAGAAAATATTGCCCCTGAAACTGAGGCAGAGGTAAGGGAGAAGAGACACACCTTTATGGGAAACTTGAAGAAGGTGGAGGATCAAAAATAGAAAGAGTGGTGTGCAGGAGCAAAGATAATCCATAAAGTGGAAGGCTTTCTCATGAGCTGGGGCAGAACTATGTACAGCAGATGTAAGAGCAAGTGGCAAAGTAGTGAAGTGAGCAGAGATAAATCGTTCCAGCAGGAATATGGACAGGCTAAAACAAGTCTGTGATACCCCAAAATGGTGGGCTGGACTGCAGTATCTATCAGCCACTGACACATTACAGAAGGTGTCCTCTCCTATTAACAGCGAGAGGACCATTTGGCAAATACTGCTCAAAGGTAGCCAAATGCCTTCTGCAGATGCAGAGGGAAAACTAAGGATAGTTTAGGAGCATCAGCTTCTCCCAAGGGCAGGGCTATAACCAGAAACTGCTCTTCACCAGCAGGAAAGGAAGTATATTAGCTCATTTTGAGTCACTCCTACTTGCCTCTATGTCAAGCTCCAAATACTGGGAAGGGGGGGGGGGGGGGGGGGGGTATGA